AAAAAAAAATTGGGAAAGAACATTAGTACTTCGAATTTCTTTTTTTCTGCAGATTAATAAAAATAAACTCTTCTTCAAAAAGAAACCATATTCATCTCTACCAATTGATTCTGCCAAATCAAACAAAAGTTTCAAAGAAAAGCACCAATTATAAACTACCAAGCAAATTAAACAGAAAGGAAAAGAAAAAAAATGAAAACAATAATATACCTCCACTGTATTCGTCACATTCTATTGAACCATTGCTAAATTCTCCATCCTCATTTATATCACATCTCCATTTCAACTTTATTACAAAAGCTGAAAATTAAAATATATTATAAGATCATCAGAAGAATTGACAATAAAAAGGTTGTGACTGAAAGCATAATGATTCAATTATAAACAAACAGGGGAAAAAGGCTTACGCGAAGGCGGATAGCTTTCAGCTGAATTGAACCAGAGTTCAGCTTCTTTAGCCTCCCAATCAGTTTCTGGGCTACTGAAATCAAAGCATCGAGGTGCATCAAACTCGTAATCGAGATCGAAACATCGTCCACCATCAAACGATTCTTCGATAGAATAAAATTCCTCCTCCATTACTTGACCGATTCCATGAACCATTTCTTCTTTCTTTCTTTTTTATTTGGTTTCACACAAATCTTCTCTGCAAGACCACTGGACTTAAAAACACCCACAATTAATGGCCAAAAAAAGGAATACCCTCAAATTCAAACATTCCTTTCCATTGTATCGTGCAATATTTTATTACCTGATCTCGAAATATTTTTATTTCTTTTTCAGTCTATTTCCCAATTAATCAACAAAGAAGAAATCTTCGTGAAATTGCGAAACCAAACACACACACACACTCTCACTATGCGTGTCTCGAACTTTTTCCCAAAATTGAGAGAGAAAGGTGTGAAAGGTTTCAAATTTCCATTGAGTTTGGCCAGGAAGCAAACTAGGAAACAAGGAAAAGAAAAGAAATTGAATGAATGAATGAGAGAAACCCTGATTCTGTAAGAAGATGGAAGGGGTTTATAGCTGCTATAATCCAAAATTGCTTCGTTGAATCGAAGGGAACGGCGAGACTATCGGGAGATGAATGTAAGGAAAAAGCACGAAAAACGCCAAAATGGCTAAAATCAAACGAATCCCCTTTTTATAGAAATAATTCTCCATTCTTTCAAATCCTCGGTGGGGTCCCCAATCTGTCCGTACAAGGAGTGGATATTGTTGTTTACTCTGTTTCATATTCTCTTAATTTTTTTAAAATAAAATCACTAATTAATAATCCATATTGTTTTGTTATTAGATAGTTTTAATAATAAAAAAGAATATATATATATATATTAATTATCTTAAATTGAAACAGTTATAATTTACAAGATATATATATATATTGTCAATTGGGTAAAAATATTAATTTATTTTTGATCTTTTGCTAATTAAAGACATTGCACTAATCGAATAGCTCTAGTTGATAATAGCGGCCTTCTTTATGAAGACGAAGAGAGAATTTGTTCTACTAGCGTTGAGTATTTTATGAATATTTTTACTTCTGATGGATCAAATGTATTTGAAGACATTCTGAATGAAATTGAATGCAACATTACTCATGCTAATAATGAACTCTTATTGTGTGATTTTACTCGAGAAGAAATCTGGTCAGATTTGCAATCTCTGAGTCCGATGGATCAAATTACTGCATTTCAATATTGAAAGGGAAATTTCCAGTAAGTGAGATCAATCATACACAAATTGTACTTGTCCCCATGGTAAGTGACCCAAGGAGTACGTCTCAAAATCACCCGATTAGTTTATATAATATTCTTTATAAAATTATCTCTAAGACTTTAGCGAAATAAATTATAAAGAGTGATACATCAATGTATAGATTTATTCGAAAATGCTTATTACATCAAATATTATAGCAACCTATAAAATCCTCCATTCATTTAAAAATAGGAGGACTAATATAATAAACCCTTTTACATTAAAGTTGGACATAAGTAAGATATACGATCGGGTCAAATGATATTTTATTAAGAGAATTATACGTAAAATGATTTTTTAGGAGTAGATCAATCGAATAATGGATTATGTATCTTTGGTTTCATATTCAGTTATTGTACATGGAAGGAATAACAATTTTATCTTTGGTTTACGGAATGTAATATTACCGGCGGGAATAAGATTACTGAGAATATTGTATTTTGTGTTTAGTTCGTTTAGCAAGAATGTAAAATTACAGTGTTTAGTTAAATGATTAAAAGATTATTGGAATGTATATTTTATCAAATTGTCCTTATTATATATTTGTTTTTTTAACAAGTCGAATTTTATTATAATTAATTTATATATTTTCTTTAAAAATTTTAAATTCATAAAATTTATATTTTTTTACAAAATTAAAAAGATAAATATGTTTAATGAAATGATAAAATTTTATTTTAACCCCTGAACTTTATATAAAATTCTAATTATGGACTTTTTTCTGTAAATCTAAAATAGTTTAAGGATAAATTTACAATTTAACCTTCGTAGAATTTTTTTATTCAACGACAGAAGAATGATATTTTTGAAAAAAAAAATTAGGGCATTTTAGTCCAAAACGTCGGGAATATAACAATAACTAAGGGAAGTAGGTAATCACATTTCCGGTAATATACTCCCAAAATACCACTGTTGGGAATAACTTATTACCGAAGGCTGAAAATATTTGTCAATCAAACGAGGAATAACATTTCATTCCTTCGGTAATGTGAGATACCCTGAACTAAACCTCTAGGTGTTCATTAAGTCGGTATTACATTATATCACGCTTTATGCAATATCATGTTTTTTTTTTGCTGCCACTCAATTTTTATAAGGAATTCGAGGTCATCGTTGCTCGCCACTGATGACAAAAATTGGCTTCCAAATATGGTATAAATGACAGAAACGAACGTATAATTTTATATTAAGAGTAATGAATTTATAAAATTTTAGAGGATTAAAATAGATTATTAATAGAAAATACATATAAAAAAATTTAAAATATAAAATAATTTAAAAAAAATTAAGGGATCAACTGGCTCACCCGCCCCTAAATCCATCGTTGTATTCTTGGATAGATTTGTGCACCTTAAAAAACGAAGGTGGCATGGATTTTAAGGATCTCGACAAATTCAATATCAGAATTGGCATTTATTTAAGGATGGCCATGTGGCGGATCGGGCCTGTTTTTTGTCGTCATGATTTCAATTCAAAAATATTTTTTTATACCTCATCCCGCCTAGAATAAATTTTAGTTTTTTCCACTCCGATTTTTAGGTTAAAACTCTAACTCTGATCTAACATAATCTGAATATATTAATATTTTAAAATAATTAAAATAATATATTTTGTAACAATATATTTATAATTATTTATTATATTTTAAATGGTTAATATAATATATTTTATAACAATTTTTATATTTTTAATAATTAAAGAATATATTTTAATAATATAAAAAAAATTTAAGATATTAAATATATTTTATATATAACAGGATAAAATAATAATTTATGTCGGATCGAATCGGTTTTTTCACCTTAAACTAGCTCCGTCCCATCTCGAAATTATATACTATATAACCCGCTCTATCCCACCCTAAATTCCAAAATTTCAAGTCCACCCCTATATAGTCGGATCAAGTTAGAACACATCAGATTCGGACATTTTCACCATCCCTCCATTTATTTTCAAACCTGAACTCCTTTATTTCCAGACTACTACGTGCTAAATAATTCACCAATTCATACGTTATAATTTATCAAAAATTTAAATAATAATTTTCTTTTAAACTTTACCAATATTATAATTTATTAGTCAAAATACAATAAATCATACATTATAAGGTATATAATTAATTTTCTTTTAGTTCTCATGAGTAAATTAATTCGTAAATAACATTTAATATTAATATCTAATATTTTTAAATTAATCCGATAATTTATAGTGACAATTAAAAAGTTTTAACTTTTAATTTAGATTGAGATTTGAAGGTTATTTGACGGGTTTGAATTAAAATAAACAAAAAGAAGAAAAAGGAGTAATTAAATGATCTTTTTGAACAAAGGAACTACTAAGCGACGATTAAAATGACAACGAAATGAGGAGCGATGATTGCCAATTTGAAAAAAGACGACTTTAACTTGTTATGTCAATTTTTTTAAAGATAGTTAAAGAAAATGATTGTAATGAAAATGAATTAAAAATATAATAATTATATTGTAAGTTTTAAATGTCTGTCGACTAAAATTCAAGTGCACTACAAGTATGAGGACTATTTTGTAATAGTCATAATACTAAAAAAAGGCTCCCAACTTTTATCAAAATCGTCATTTTTTGCTCTTAACGTTTTATTTTGGGACAAAAAATTTCATCTATAGATGAAAACTCTTAGTTAACAAGTAATTAACGCTCCAAAATAAGATCATTTTTTAACTTAATATGAAACATTGCGGGCTAAAATACCTCAGAAAAAAGAATAAAGGACAAAGTGATTATTCGTTCTGTCAAATTTTAGAGATCTTTGTCTTAAAATGAAACATTATGCAGCAAAACGCTCCAAAAATAATACAAAAAAAATATCAGGGACTAATTTTGACATTATACCTTATAAAAGTATCCTTAACAAATACTTTGAACCCGGGGCTCCTATCCACCGGACGACAATGAAATGATAGCAGGTTCAACGAATAAACGGAAAGCAAAATTGAGTTATTACGTATTTAAATAGAATGCTATAATGAGCAAAAAATCAATATCTAAATTAAAACCATTTATCATAATAAACTCGGAGTATATATTCGATTATTTTCAAAACTCTAATTATTTAATTTATAGTATTTTTAAAATATTAAAATAATTTTTAATTTTATTAGAAATTTAAATAATTATATTCTAATGCCAATCACACTATTCAACTAGCGCTCTCCAACGGTCCTCATTCCACGAACGCCTACGCACTCATTTTCTGTTTCCGTCAACCTTTTTGTTGCAAATTGAAAGGAAGCTCAAGCCTCAATTCTCGCGGCTTTTTGGGTAAGCCTTTCATTTTATTTTTCTAACTCAGTTTTCCTTTCTTTTCTATGAAACAAACACAAATCTTCGGAGAGGACAAACTGTTCGTCTCAATCGCAATTTGCTCAGGTTTGTCTTCAACTCTGCACATTTTCCCGTCAATTTCTTATTATGTGTGGTTGACGAGAAAATGTAGAGATAATCAAACAAGTCGAGATAACTTAAAGCTAATATCTCATGTTCATCAATTTTCTCGAAAAATGGAGATTTCATTTGTAAATCGTGGTTTAATGTGCGTTATAGAGAGGTGAACAAGGTCATTAAAGCTTTGGAGGTTGGAATTGATTTCTTGCCATATTGGCAGAACCACAAACTTTAGTAAACAGAAGCCAAAAAAGAAATAAACAAGAGGAGCCCTTAATGTTGACATCACCGGCTTCGCTTTTGTGTGTGTGTGTGTGTAAATGGAGGCTAGTTCTTGTGACTTTTGTTAGTATAATGTTCTGTTAATCTTGAATAATTTTTTGATGATTATTGACTTTAAAAATGTTTCCATTAGTATTTACCTCAAAATTTAGTTTAAAGCTATGGAGCTTGCACTTGATTTTTATAGCAAGAGGTTTGATAGAATTGGGTAACTGGATGGATGGAATTAGGTTATCCAATTGTCATGGATCAAATGTCAATATTTCACCCCCCCCACCCCGCTTTTCTTGGCATTTTCATCCGAAGATAAATTCACAACAGTAAGGTAGATCAGGCAAATCTCTCCAGATAAATTCAAAAAAACTTGCTGCCATCTGTCAAGAACAAAATTACTTCATGTTGTGAATTTAGAGTTGAGAGAAAATAATTAGTCATTTCCATGTCCCAATGCAAGCTAAATGCTTCTGCTTATATACTTGGTGGCTGCTGCTTTTTGTTTTTGCAGTTTCATTGTTCCTGCTAAAATTTATCTGAAAGGTCACGTTTTACACATTTTATACTTGAAATTTCAGTTTTGCTTTTTTATTCTCTTAGCTTGCTTTACGGTGTATAATTTGGGATAATTTTTTATATGAAGACATTGGTTTTGTCAGGAATTATTCACATGTCTACTCCGCGAACTGATCCACTTGTTCATTTGGAAACAACCTGTAGAACCCTTCTAGCCGAACTTCAGGTATTGTGGAGCATTCCACACAAAAGATACCTTAATTCTTTTATTTTTGTCCCTCTTGGAAAGATAATTCCCATTTCAAATATGCCTATTCCCTGTTTCTATTCTAAAAATTCGAACACTAATCTAATATTTACAATCTCATGGTTCCTTGAAAAACAACATTAGATCATCTGGGATGAAATCGGGGAGACAGATGCTGACAGAGATGAAATGCTGCTTGAACTTGAACGAGAGTGCATGGAAGTATACAGAAGGAAGGTAGATCAGGCAAATCTCTCCAAAGCTCATATAAAAAAGACAATTGCTGATTATGAAGCCGAACTTGCTGCCATCTGTTCAGCAATGGGGGAGAGGCCAGTGCATATTAGGCAGGTCAGGAATGAAAAAATTATGAATCCTGGATGAAAATATTCCGGTTAGATTGAACTATTTACTTATGTAACGGTCCAAACTTTTCAGTCAGATCTAAAAGTTGGAAGCTTGAAGGAAGAGCTAGAGAAAATTCTTCCGCAGGTTGAGGAGATGAAGAAAATGAAGATAGAAAGAATAAATCGTTTCATAGACGTCCTGGACCAAATACAAATTATCAGAAATGAGATAAGTGAATCCAGAGAATCAATTTCCTCGGAAACACTTATAGATGAAACTGACTTGTCCTTGATGAAGCTAGAAGATTTGCACAGAGAGCTCCATGAACTTCAGAAAGAGAAGGTCAACTTTCTTACTTTTTTCAGATCTTTATTGTTTCCACCTCATGAAAACTCTTGCTTATCTTCCTCTCGCTGACTGTTCTCTCTTTTGTGCAGAGTAATCGTCTGAAGCAGGTTCAGGACCACCTTAACATGTTGAACTCACTTTGCTCAGTGATGGGTATGGATTTCAAGCTCACAGTTGCTGAGGTCCATCCTAGTTTAGGTGACTCTGAAGAATCGAGGAGTATTAACAATAATACCATTGAGCAGTTATGTGTAACTATAAATAAGTTGCGGGAAGTTAAGATACAGAGGATGGACAGGGTAAAAATGAACTTTTAGTATTTTGCATACTGCAAAATCCTGGGCCTCTTCTATATTTCTGATTGTAATAGTGTTCTTTGATCCTTTACAGCTACAGGATCTTGCAACTACTATGTTGGAATTGTGGAATCTGATGGATACACCGATTGAGGAGCAACAGAAATTTCAGGATGTTACATGTAATGTAGCTGCTTCAGAGGATGAAATTACTGAACCCAACAGTCTCTCTGAGGATTTTATCAACCATGTAAGTCATACATTTTTAAAGAGGCCAGTTTAGCCGTCTCTGGGTCTATAAATTTCAAAAGGTAGTAGTAAGTGCTTTACTCCTGATTAGTAGAAAAATAAATATGCTATACTATGCAGGTTGAGGCAGAAGTTTCTCGGTTGGAAGAGTTAAAGTCGAGCAAAATGAAGGAGCTTGTCCTCAAGAAGCGATCAGAGTTAAGGAAGATCTGTAGGAAGACGCACCTGGTTCCAGACACTGAATTAGAAGATGTCGTTGAAGCAATCGAGTCTGGTACATGCTAATCATATCTCGTTTTCATCAGACCATTTGTTATATAAAACTTCTCCACCCCTTTTCCTCCTGCGTGTCATTCTTACTTTACATATCAGGAGTTGTTGATGCTGCGACCATCCTAGAACAAATTGAACTTCATATTGCAAAGGTTAAAGAGGATGCTTTTAGCAGAAAAGAAATACTTGAAAAGATTGAGAAATGGTTGGCCGCATGTGATGAGGAGTGTTGGCTTGAGGAATATAACAGGGTGAACGTTTTTGTCATCTATTCGGAGTATCTTTTTTTTTTTTTGTCCTAGGATGGTAACCTTGCTTCATTATATGTTATTTAACAGGATGAAAACCGATACAATTTGGGAAAAGGAACTCATCTTGCACTCAAGCGTGCTGAGAAAGCTCGTGCCTTGGTTAATAAACTTCCAGGTATATAGTACTCCAAGATAGAAAGGTTGATAAATGTTGAAGTCACAGAACCAAACTAGTTTTTTTCGTTACCATTTCACATCATGTGTTGGAAATAGTCAAGAAAAGTTGGCAACTTTCGGTGGCTTTAAATGCACCGAAAGTTGCTTGTTGAAAATGATTTCTGGCTTAATTACATTTTAGTCATTGTACACTTTAGGGTATTTACAAGATTAATCCCTAAGGTTCAACTATAAATACCCTAACCCATTTAGTTTCAAAATCATCTCAAAAATCATTTCTTTCTCCCATTACTAGAGAGCTTTCTTGTGAGTGTTTTGTAAACACCTGTAAATTTTCTCTCTTAGTAAAAGATCTGCAGCAGTCCGGAGACGTAAGCAAAATTGGCTTAACTCCGTTATTAATTTCGGGTATTATTTTTCCGCTTTTATTTCGCATTCTCACTAATTTGGTTATAGTAAAATTACTTGTTACTCGATTTATTTCCCAACAACTGGTAATCAGAGTTTGGTTGTGAATTTTGTCAATTTTTTGCGAGGTTATTATTCACGTGAATAGTTAATTTCGTGAATAGTAAAAATTTTGTCGGCGATACGAATTTGTCGACGGAGGTGTTCTAATACGATCCAAAGAAGTCAGATTCGAGTGGGAGTGATGGCTGCAGACGAAGGGAAGGTGAAAATTGAAAAGTTCGATGGTGCGAACTTTGGCCTTTGGAAGATGCAGATCGAAGATTTTCTGTACCAGAAAAATCTATATCAACCCCTCTCAGGAAAGCAACCAGAGGGCATGAAGAATGAAGACTGGGCTCTTCTAGATGACAAGCCCTCGGAGTTATCTGACTGACGTTATCCCGCAATGTTGCTTTCAACATAGCAAAGGAAAAGACCACGGCGGGTCTTATGGCGGCTCTCTCCAGTATGTATGAGAAGCCATCGGCCTTAAACAAATTTCATTTGATGAGGCGATTATTCAATTTGCGGATGACGGAAGGGGCATCGATGGCACAACACCTAAATGAACTCAACACAATCACAACCCAGTTGAGTTCAGTGAAAATTGAATTCGATGATGAAGTTCGAGCTTTAATTATCTTGTCATCTCTACCAGACAGTTGGAATGCTATTGTTACAGCAGTCAGCAGCTCATCGGGAAACAGTAAATTAAAATTCGAAGATGTTCGGGATCTTGTATTGAGTGAAGAAATTCGACGAAGAGAATCGGGTGAAGCATCAACCTCCTCAGCCTTGCACACGGAGTCTAGAGGGAGAACTTCAGAAAGAAATTCAAATCGAGGCAGATCGAAATCCAGAACAGGAAAATCAAGAACGAGAAAGAAAGATTTTACCTGTTATAACTGCGACAAGAAGGGTTACTTTAAAAGAGATTGCCGAGCACCGAAGAAAAATACCGGCGCATAGGATTCTGCCAACGTGACAGAGGAGACAGGTGATGCCATGATTCTAAGCGTCAACAGTCCAATTGAATCATGGATCTTGGATTCAGGGGCATTTGTTCACTCTACCCCATGTTGAGAAATCATGGAGAACTATGTCAGTGGTGATTTTGGGAAGGTTCATCTAGCCGATGATGAAACCTTAAAGATCGTCGGAAAATGAGACATCCGATTAAAGTTGCCAAACCAGACCACCTGGAAGCTGAACTGAGTGAGACATATTCCTGACCTTAAAAGGAATTTGTTTTCTTTTTGACAACTTGATAGAGAATGATATAGTACAACCTTTTCAGGTTGTGAATGGAAAATTACCAAAGGAGCACTCGTTATTGCTCGTGGTAAGAAGACTGATACTCTCTATGTAACCTCAAACTTAGAGAATATCATTGTTGCAGCAGATGCTGATGGAAAATCAAACCTATGGCACCAAAGGCTTGGCCATATGAGCGAGAAAGGGATGAAGACATTTTTGTCAAAAGGGAAGTTACCGGATCTAAAGAATGTAGATGTCGGACTATGCGAGGATTGCATCTTTGGCAAACAAAAGAAAGTCAGCTTTGCAAAGATTGGTAAGACACCCAAGACTGAAAAGTTAGAGTTGATTCATACTGATGTATGGGGACCATCTCCAGTTCCATTTCTTGTAGGCTCATTATATTATGTCACCTTCATCGATGATTCTACAAGGAAGGTGTTTGGCTTTAAATGCACCGAAAGTTGCTTGTTTGGCTTAATTACATTTTAGCCTTTGTACACTTTAGGGTATTTATAAGATTAGTCCCTAAGGTTCAACTATAAATACCCTAACCCGTTTAGCTTCAAAATCATCCCAAAAATCATTTCTTTTTCCCATTACTAGAGAGCTTTCTTGTGAGTGTTTTGTAAACACCTGTAAATTTTCTCTCTTATTAAAAGATTTGCAGCGGTCCGGAGATGTAAGCAAAATTGGCTGAACTCCGTTATCAATTTCGGGTATTATTTTCCGCTTTTATTTTACATTCTCACTAATCTGGTTATAGGGAAATTACTTGTTACTCGATTTATTTCCCAACATCATGCAGCTCAAATTTTGAGATTTCTTCCAATGAATTCCTATTTCCTACCTGTTCTTGAGTAGAATTAGTTAATACAGTGCTGAAATTGTTCTATATCAATCTTTTCAGGAATGACCGAGACATTGATTTCAAAGACAATGGCTTGGGAAGAGGAGAGAGAGACTGAATTTTTGTATGATGGTGTGCGTGCTCTAATAACTTACCCCCCTTGAATATTGTTCCGTATTTGCTTGCAGTTTTGGTATTGATCTGTACCCCAAACAATATTAGACGAACATTACATCAAAATCCATATGACACAAATTATTAACACGACCCCGTTCTATATTATCCAGATTCCTCTTCTTTCTATGCTCGAAGATTACTCTGCTTTACGAGAGGAGAAAGAGCAAGAAAGGCGTAGGTTACGGGTTAGATAACCAAACTCATTTTCCAATCACAGTGCATATGTTAATATTGTTTCACCAATTTATGAAATTAGGCTATATGCAATTATGGGGCAATTTTTTCTGTTCAGGACCAGAAGAGAATCCAAGAGCAGATAATAGCGGAGCAAGAGGTACTGTATGGTTCAAAAGTATGCCCACCAAAGCAGCAGACCGCAAAAAAGTATTCCAAGCAGTCTAGCATTAGAAGAACCGCCTCGGGAGGATCAATGGTTAGACCCGATTCAGTTCATACCCCAAGGACTCCCCAAATACGTTCTAGTAAGAAAACCGACCTTCCGTTTCAAAATGATCGTTCAAATCATCAGCGGGATGATGCCATTCTGGCTTCCCCAGCTTGTAAGTTCTCCATTTATGCTTGTTACAATCAAGAACTTCTCAATTAGGCTTGTTGATCCGTGTATTCATGTTGTATCCATGTTTAAGATTAGCCACAATCTTAGCTTTCCCTGACACCAGAAGATTTTTATCAACTCAAAACCGATTTGTAGCTGCTCGGGAAGGTTACATACTGCTGTAAAAAGTTTATCACAATAGTATTGTGTTCTACATATATATATTGACATGTTTGTATATTTGTACCATATTTTATTATTATGTAATCGTATCATGTCTAAAATTGTTAAGAATTTGTGAGCGGAAAAAAATGTACTAATTGTTGCAGTCAGGAGAGGCATGGACACTGCCGACACTCCCTTTCGAAAGCATTGGTCAAATGCTGTACATGCTAATGAAGTAGAGTCGCCACTGGTTCGTAAGCCATTTTCGCCCATCTATCCATCATCAAAAGTCAATATGACAATCAAGCTAGAGGATAACGGTGCACATAAAACTTTACAGAAAACGGTCCCGACAGATGATCTGCCTGACAACCTGCCTCGCTTGAGGATAACTTCTTCAGTCGACGAAGAGAATCGGACGCCAAAGGCAACGGTTTGGATGCAGACAGATACGAAACAAGCTCCAACAACACAAAATACGAAGCCAATCGAAGGAAGTCATGAAGAGATCGAAGAGTCGTTCGAAGAAAGAAGGCTTGCTCGTATGCGTTCAGATAGCCAAATAACATCGATGATACAAGTATGATCATCTTCAAAAACCTTATTATTGCTTGAAAATTGAAACTGAATCAAATTTGATTTGATTTTTATTCATTGTTTTATTTTCATGTTTATAACTTTGGCTGTTGTGCTGTGAATGTGCATCTGAGAGCCTGAACGTGGACGATTTGCCAGGTTGAAAAATCACAGTATTTTCGTCATGAATTTCATCAGCATTATCCAGAATTAGAACATTTCAATCTACCCTTTTCAAATTCTTACAAATGTAAATAAGTTTTCATTTTCTTTCTTTTTTTGGTACATTTTTAAAGGTTATGGTAATTAATTTGCTTATTTTTGTGTTTTTTTAGTTAGATTTAACCATAACCCATCTTTTCTAACTTAAATTTTATTTTCATTGAGTAATATTTATAAGGGTAAACTGCATATTTAGTACTCCAACTATCACTTTTGTTTCATTTTGGTCATTTAACTATTATTTTTTTCTAATTATAATGTCTCATTTTCTTTCTTTTGTTTCATTTTTCTAATTATAACGTTTTATAATTGAATATAAATCATTTATATATATATATATATTTGATTAATATGAGGTAAATGCAAGGTAGTATATGTTCAAAAATTCTTAATCATTTGATATTGAACGTTCATATCCCTAGCATGCATGGTGCTCGAATTCGAAACCTCAAGGAATAATAACAATTACTTAACTACTGAGATCGTTTGGTTCGTACAAATCATATATATTTTAAAATATATTCGAATTGGATTAATTTATAAATTAAAAATTATTTTTCATATCCTGATCGATCAAAGTGAGTATATCACTAAATTCACGAACAAATTTATCTTACATTCCTATCCTACATGAGAAAGACAAATTTAATAGTTAATAAGTTTTCTTGTGTCATAATTTTATGCATGTTCTAAACTTTTAGTAAGTTAACAACTTGTAATATAAAGAGTTCCTCAATTTATTTGTGTTGTGCCCGTATTCCTTTCACGTATCAGTTCACATAAATAATATTTTTAGTTATTATTAGCTTAATCTATTCACGTCGTATAATTTTATTTAATAATTAATTTTATTTGAAATATACAATTTGAAATTAAAATTTGTCTTTAGTTTTTAGATTATATATATATATATATATATATATATTGTTTTTTAGTTCTAATTTGATATTTAAATTTATCCTTCTATCACATGTTTTGATATATGAACTTGACATTCTTCATACATTTTGACACATTTAACCAACAAGTGCATTAAAAAAATATAAAATTTTGTAACAGAAATCGAATTGTAAAATTTAAATATCAATTTGAACAAAATCGGATGGCTTTGATATTGTAGCATCGGGGCCTGTAAAAGGTTGGATCTTGTAATAAAGCCCTAAATTATTATCAAACTTCAGCCCAAATACTTGATCCAAGGCCCAATATTCAAAGGTCAAGGTTAGGATGTAAAATAAAACCCTAAGCACAAAACATCCTATAAAACCAATAAAAGGAAGCTGGAGTAGCATTCTTGCGCCTAGTTGCCGACTGCCTTGTACCAAACAGTAGCGGGAAAAAAGAGTCTCACAACCGCCGCCGCCACCATGGGTCGCATGCACAGTCGCGGGTATCTTTCCTCTCCTCCTCCTTAATTTCTTTCTCTGTCTCTCTGTATATACACATTTTAGTTGTTTACATTGTAAGCATTTTTCCAATGTTGCAGTAAGGGTATTTCTGCCTCAGCTCTGCCTTATAAGAGAACCCCACCAAGCTGGCTCAAGATCTCTTCTCAAGATGTCAGTAATTAAAGCCCATTCTCAGATTCGTTGCTGATAGAAATCCACCTGAAGTTTTTGTTTTTTTATGACTGAATGTTTATGTGTTCAGGTTGAGGAAAACATTTGCAAGTTCGCAAAGAAGGGCTTGACCCCATCTCAGATTGGTGTCATTCTTCGTGATTCTCACGGTATTGCTCAGGTTAAGAGCGTTACTGGAAGCAAAATCTTGCGTATCCTTAAGGCCCATGGTATTATATTCTTCTTTTCTTTGATTTTATGATTTACTCAAATTTTGTTTCTTAACTTAGGAGTAGATTAGTTATACATTTAATTTTGAACCAAATAGAGAGGATTGTAAGACAATGCTAAAGAATGCTGACTTGTTTGTTTTAAAGAGACTAGAAAATTTCCTTTTTTGTTTTTTTTGAAAAAAGTTAAAATTTTTGGTTTTCTTCTTTTCGCAATTAGCCAATTTTCAGTTTTAAATTTAATGTACAGGGGTTAATTTGCTTTCTGTCTACAGTATAAGGACCTATCCAGTAGTTTAACCCAAATATTCTCCTGTGCTATGAGTGAAATATTGCGTTGCTATTAAATTATTGTTGCAATAGGTCTTGCCCCTGAAATTCCTGAGGATTTGTATCACCTCATCAAGAAGGCCGTTGCCATCCGCAAGCATCTGGAGAGAAACAGGAAGGACAAGGATTCCAAGTTCAGGTTGATCCTTGTTGAGAGTAGGATTCACAGGCTCGCCCGTTACTACAAGAAAACAAAGAAGCTTCCTCCTGTCTGGAAATAGTAAGTCTGTGTATTAATATCTGAAATGGTGATTTCATCAACTATTGTGTATCTTTTTTGTTCAATGTTAATGGTCCGATTAATGTTATTTTACATCTTTTCAATATCAATCTCTTAACTTTTTTTTATTAATATCTAATTGGTCAACTTGGATTGTTTATTCTATTTCTCTATGCATGTTATTTTTAGCTTGGATGTGCAATGTAGTATGTTATGATGTTGTAAGGGAAGAAGTTAAAGAGCTATCACTACTATAATTTGATTTATATGTGAATCTCTTAGACTAGGTTGCATGGAATATACATATGAATTCCATTTCAGAAAATATAAGTAAAGCCATTATTAGATCATATTGAACATGTTAATTTGTCCTCCATTTGTTTCACTTGTTTTCTTTGTACATCCCTTACAAGCTTTATGTTGCAAAAATTAATTCAACTTCTTGGTCTGCAGCGAATCTACAACTGCCAGCACTCTTGTTGCTTAAGCATGTGGGGTCGTGCAATTTGCGGGTCATCTGTGTTGGATGTGGATGCTTTGAGGGAGATTATAGTTATGTTTTCATGTTCTAGTGGAGATATGATATGAGACTTTTATTTATAGCTGTTATAAATTTTATTTTGTTTGAAAAGAGAGTTGGGAACTTGTTAGCCTTTTGATCCTAGTCGCCTTTGTTTTTGTTCATTGGAGCCTTATTTGACATTTGAAGCAGCAAATCATATTAAATTTTGAAACCTAAAGTGCATCCTTTCCAACATTATATTGTAAAATGAGTTTAGCCCTTCATTTCTGGTCTCTTGAAGGGGTATTGTCTCATAGCTTTTGTACACTGTTAACAATTGGAACCATTCAGAAACTTTATTGGCCTTTGACAACACACAAAAACCTCGCTGACATAACTGCTTGAAGCCTCTAAAGGAAATATTTATGACTCTAAGGTCACTCAATGAATTCTTATCTTTGGTTTCAGTATCTTAAATCAGATATCATCTTTACTAATTGATCATCTTCTTCATATAAATACAGTCGAGTGGACAATGATGGGAATCCACATATTTCAAAGAAGCATTACAGAAGGGTAAAGGGATGAGCATAATCCTTAACGTCAAATTATGCCTTAAAATTCAAATATCCAAACACAATCTTTAGGTTACAAAAAGGAAACAAATTATTAAGCAACCAACAAACGAGGAGGATCTTCATTCCAAAATTTGTATGGGAAAACACAAACTACAGAAACCCCACAACACTCATTTGCTTAGGGATCAATCCTAGCAAATGGTGTGCAATCGCGATGATGTTTCTTTCTAATAAACTTAAACTATGTAAAGGCAAAATGCAAAAGAAAGACTCGTTTAAGAATCTGCGATGGTGACCTCCACCTCGACACCGGGTTCAATGGTGATAGATGTAATCTGCTTCACCACATCAGGGGAGCTGAATAGGTCAATGACTCTCTTGTGGACACGAAGCTCAAATCGATCCCATGTGTTTGTTCCTACAAAGCAACCAAATAGTTATGTAGATTTTTCAAACATATTACTCGAGTTAAATGAAACCCTTAGCATATTTCTGCATGTCAAGCCCAAAATATACAACAACATAGAATATGCACCAAGTAGTTCAAACAATCAAAGCTTCCATTACCAGCATAAGTTCAAACACAGTTAACCATGGAAAAAATGGCAGCCCTTAGAGGTTGTTAAAAAAGTTACAAAAAAGGATGGTTGCATATTAAGGTAGAAGACAGGTAAAGCATACACCATATCATCAAATATGTTTACTCAGGCTTGGATAAGAGTACCAATATCGGTATGTGTCCGGCAAAGGTTAAGTTCATATTTGTCTATGTTTTTCCATGTATTTGGTTTTAAAAAGCATAAAGCGCCCTAAAGCACCTAGGGTCCTAGACGCCGAAGCGCTAAGCGCTAAGCGAAAGCGATCGCTTTATGCACACGAAGTGCCAGAAAGGCCGAAATTCACAAAAAAAAATACAGAATATTTATAAATTATCTTATAAATACTTAAATATCAAAGTGTCAATGCATATATTCAAAACTTATAAGTACTTAAACACCAAAATATAATTCTCAATTTACTTATAAGTTATAAACACTTAAATACTTATATACCATTAACCATACGACTATACGAGCATATTAATCTCAAAAGATGGTCTACACCAAAAGTAGTCTAAAGTGAGATGAACAAAAGTATTTTTCTAAACCCTCAATTCCTTATAACTAAAAATCCTCTAAATTGTCATCGTCATCGTCATCAACTCGGACAACACCATCTCCTTCATCACTAGACACTCCAATATCTTCTTCCATCTCATCTTCATCAACTAAACATCTACGAGATGGTCTACTAGAGATAGGATTATGAGCAGGAGATTTTCCTTTATCATTTCGCGATGGTCCGGCTCCATCATTCACTACTTTTGATGCTCTAGTTAGATAACTAGGCTCATATGCACCGGAAGCGTTAACAACATCACTCCATGTCAAATCCTCACCAACAAACACCGCCTCATCATCATCTTCCATTCTTCACATGAACCACTCATTGCTCTCGTCAATATCTTGCAAAAGAATGGGATTGGTCTCCTTACTTTTAGCTCGGCGCTCCAAGGCACGATTGAATTTCACAAACACCATGTCATTCAATCTAGATTGTGCCAATCTATTTCGTTTCTTAGTGTGAAGCTACAAGAAAAAAACCAAAACTGGATGTGAGCGTGAGGCGAGAGGCCAGAGACGACAGGAGTGGAAGATGATTGCTCTCTGTGAATTTTTTACCGCTCAACCTCAATCGTTCTCTGTAAATTCTTCGATTATCGCCTATTTCAATCGCATTTTTTACCCTAGCCCGCCTAACCTAAAAGCCGATCTAAGCCTGATAATCTAATAACCCGCTAAACCCTAAACAAGCCCAAAAATCATATCTGCTAAAGCCCAGAATCGTATCTTCTAAACTCGCGATTAAGCGCCGATTAGCGCTTTGCTAAAAGCGCCGATTACTACCGCTTAATGAATTCGTAGTGCTTTTGCTATGCTGAAGCGCCGGGGGCCTTGCTCGAGTCGCTTAGCGCTTAAGCGGCGCTTTTTTAAACACAAATAGGGCTTTTGGATTTCTATACTCATGTTTAAATGTGTTGAACGCGAGTACTCGACATAGATACTTCAAGAAAAATAGTTTGACAAAAATAGATATTTAAGTCAATCCGATGCAAGGCATGTAAATTACCTTCACCACAGGGAGACTTCCTGGTGGTGATGTGAAGAACCTTGGTGGGCATTCTTACTGATCCCTTAACCCTCAGTCTCTTATCCTTCGCACCACGAACCAAATCAGCACAAACTACCAATCAAAACAGAAACAGATTAGACTAACAAATTCTATGGGCATCAATTCAATCCATAACATCAACCAACCAAAGTATCATTTCATGATTATAAATGAAACCATACTACTTTCATTAAACAAAAACAAAGTACCTTTTTCGAGGTTTTTGACATTCTTAGAGGAGAGAGTGATTCTGATCTTGTGAATCTGTTCTAAGGGCTCCTCCAAACCCGGCTTGGTAGGCTTCATTGCAGCATACGCCATTGTTATGAAACTGGCTAACGGCTTCACGTTCAGAACAATTTATTACAACAAACAAGAATTCCTCGAATTAAGTCGCAAAGTTGAAAATTTTAAACTATGGGTTGTGGGTTACAACATGAGATTCAATCTCACTAGATTCTAACTACTAAAGCAGAGAACAAGATTTTCGCATATTCCTTTTTTCCAAAGCAAGAAGAAAAAAAATCTAATATGCAAGATAGAGCCTTTTTTCCAAAATAATTTGCAGAAACGGGAAATGTGATGGGAAAAAATAGAGTAGCACAAAAAAGAAAATTCAAGCCTTTTAACATACAAAACAAACAAACGCAGAGAAATGGGAAAATTGAGAGGGAAACCTTGAAGAAGGTAAGAGAAGGGAAGTGTAGAGTCGCCGCCTCTGCTGCCTTTTTTCGCACAAATGATGGATGGTTAGGGTTAGGGTTTTTCGACGAATAAAAATGTTCTGCAAGTCGGGTAACGGATACTTGACCCAGGATGGGATCAATTATAATTAGATTTTGGGGAAACTACCTCATATACTATTGAACTTTTCTCTTTGATTTGTTTATGTCATAGAATTTTTAATTTTGTCAATTATAACACTAAATTTTAGTTTTGTATTGAATTATATCACTATGTTGTTAAGTCAATAAAGAGACGATGATATAACTAACAATTGTTCATGTAGTCTGTCACACCAAAACAATGATGTTTTGTTATGGTTGTTTTGAGGCCATATCTTTTTATACAATGAATTTTTATGGGTATATTGATTTTGTCATTGAACTTTAAACAATTTTCATTTTTAGTATTATATTTTTCGGATGTCATCGACAACCAAAGTATTCATATTTCACTCATTTTCCCCCATGATTGATTTTTCATGAAACTCATTCAAAATCGATGAAAATTCATGTAAAAGTTCGACGTGTTAATACTTCGATATCTTTCAATGACTGTCTAATGGGACTAGTTTTGACGTATATGTTTGTTTTCTCAAAATAATATTTTTCACCATTTAGATTTTCAAACAAACACACCAAGTCCTGTAAATCTAAGAAAGTCCCCAAACGTCTAAAAATGATAATTTTTTATTTAATTTTATCAATTTTGAATGGGTTTAATGAAAAAGTAATCATATGAAAATAATAAGTGAAATGAGAACATTTTTGTACTAATTTTATCGCGAAAAAGTAATAAAATCGATGTACTTTTAAAGTTCAGCGTCTAAAACGATGTCATTTTAAGTATTAGAACAATCACACTAAAACGAAGTCGTTTTAATGTAATATGTCGTGTCAGCAATCGTTAATCATATCATTATTCTGTTAATGACTTAATAGTGAAGTAACATAAAGGAATGTAAAACTAAAGTTCAATATTATAATTGATAAAATTAAAAACAAGTCAGTAAACAAAGTTAAGTGATATTTGCAATAGTTTTCCCTTATATTTTTACGGAATTCGCTTCTACCTCGTCTACTCTTCTTAAACCCTTGAACCCAAATTATTAACAAAGAAAATGATGAAATTAAGCTCATCAATCTCCAGCATTCTTTTTCTGAATTTCAATTCTCCATCCATTATATCTCACCCTTCATCAAAATTTCCCACCAATCTCAAAACAACCATGACTTATTTCCCTAAAAGTTCCATTCACTGTTCAAATTCTTCTCCCGCCATTCCTGCGGAGGAACCCCAAGTGGCGCCGCCCAAAACTATGCCTCGGCATCCGTGGCTCATTGTTGGCCTCGGTAATCCCGGCAAGAAATACATTGGCACCCGCCACAACGTATCTATCTATATCTTCTTCGAATCGTCCTCGTTTAGTGTTTAAATATTTTTAGCGAATTTAAAATTTTAATGGTTTTTTTTAACAGGTGGGTTTTGAGATGGTAGACGCCATAGCTGAGTCTGAAGGGATTTCCATTACCGGTGTTAACTTCAAATCCTTGCTTGGAAAAGGTTCTTTTCTCCTTTTCCCTCCTTTTTCGACCCCCACAAAAAAAGGGAAAAAAACTTCAGCTTTCTTCAATCTTTGAATTACTCTCTATGATTTTGAATTTGTGTACTTTAATATGGTTTGGACTCTTGCATACCTGCTGTGCTGAGAATATTATAGCCATGGCTCTTTGGCCGAGTATAATCTCTTGGTTCTTAATGGAATTAGCGTTGGACATTATAGGATCCCCCAATTTTGATATTGGACTTATTTATTTTGACATGGATTTAATTCTAGTTCGCCACTAACTTTGAAGATCAGAATGCAGCGGGTTTAAAGGGTATATTTCATAATTAGGACTTAGATGTAATAATGAAATGCTGAATCCAGTAGTGAAGTAGCATGGTTCTTACATTGCAGTTTTTTCATTTTACTAACTTTAGCTTTAATTTTCTTTCTAATTTAAAGTCTTAACTGATTATTTGTTTATCACTCTATTAAATATGAATTTTTGATTAAGTTATTAATAAAAAATAATGGTATAGAGAAACAAAATACGTGTGTTTAGATAATGGAAACTTATTAAATCGTGATGCCACTCCTCAGTTTCCTTCTGATTTGAATGATGGCAGACAATAAAAGTGACTGTTCTTAGTAAATTCTCATCTTCTGTCATCCTGTTGGGAAGGGGCATTGATGCATGATATAAATTATGCCAGAAACCTTTACCTTAGCTTCTCTTAGTTTAAGCATCAACATGAATGTTTCTTATGAAAGCCAGAGATATGTGAATCCAGATATAGCATGCTTGGCAAAGTCTAGAAATAGAATCAGACATAGTTCATGATTAATATTTTATAAAAATTCAATCTATATGTGTGTATATATATGTACAAGTTATGAACTTGTGCCTGATAGATGTAAATAAAAAGTAGAAAATTCTTTTTGATTCATGAAAAAAGTGAGTAAATTACAGAAGAATTTGTGTCGCAATTTTAATTTTTCTGGTTATAGTACCTGAAAATGCATACTACACAATATTTAATTGAAGATAGTTACTGTTTTCCAGGGTTTATTGGAAATGTTCCAGTCATGCTTGCCAAACCACAAACTTTCATGAACTTAAGTGGTGAATCAGTAAGTGGCCATCAGACCTATATATTGTTCTTGAGGGTCAAAGCTTCACATCTGATTGAAACTACTATATTCTAATTGTCATTGCATGGTTTTTCAATACATTTTGAAGGTTGGGGCCATTGTCTCGTATTACAAGATACCATTGAAGCAAGTACTTGTGGTAATTTTCTTTAATGCGACATAATACTAATCTTTCCTTCTCTCTTCGCACTGACTGTTCCTTTTAACAGATTTATGATGATTTAGATTTACCTTTTGCCAAATTGAGACTACTTCCAAAAGGTGGACATGGAGGACATAATGGGTATTTGTTTTGTATTTTCTTATCCTGTTAGAGTGAATGTTTTTAGTGTAATGGTTGGCTGTACAATTTTTTTTTAACTTTTCCTTCTAGGATGAGAAGTATCGTTGACCGTTTAAAAGGGAGCCGTGATTTTCCTCGTCTAAGAATTGGTATGCTGCTAGAAGCACTAAATTAATTTCTGAAATTCTGCTAATATCCTTAGTTGCTGGTCTTTAAAGTTGTAGAACTTTTCTAGGCATTGGACGGCCTCCTGGGAAGATGGATGCTGTTAACTTTGTTCTTCGCCCTTTCAATAGACAAGAACGCGAAGAGGTATGTAAAAATATATCAAATAACCATAGAGAAGAAAAAAGAAACAAATTGGTAACAGATGTCTTTGTTTTTTTCAGCTCGAGTTCACATTTCAACATGGGACAGAAGCTATTCAGATTCTATTACTAGAGGGTTTTGATAAAAGTGCTACATTTGTCAACAGCGCCAAAGCAATTGAACAACTTGGTTAAATTATTGCTCTTGATGGTATATCTTTTGTTAAGCGCATTGAGGTAATTTACAGAACTAGATTATGATTACAAAGAATTTTTTAGTTAGGAACTAGATTGTGGATTTTTTTGAGCTTTTTTTCTTTTATCATCCATTCCTGTTAACATAAAACAGCAGCAATATGTGAGGTGTTATTATTTTAAAGATTTTTATAGCGAGGTGTTTATGTTTTTAATGAAGTGTCATTATATGTTTAATTGTTGGTATATAGATTTTTTTACGTTGATAGCGTGTTAAAATATTTATATAAAATTTGACATATTAATACTTTTTTTTGTATTTTTCTCCTGTTGTATTTGTCTCGTATCCAAGATTATTAGTCTTTAATGTTGGAGATTTGTGTTGATGGATGTTGTTGAATGAAATATGAATGTGGTTTTTCATATGTTGTTCAAAGCTTTGGCACAGATTTAATGAAGCATTGGAGGGCTTGAAAAATACGGTGGGTTGTGGTGGAAGATGATAAATATGAATCAACATTCAAGACAGAGCAAGCAATGTGATCACAGTAAACTGACTCCGTCAAACATGACTGGTTTGCACTACTTCAGCATACATGGCTCAGGCAGATTATTGGGTTCGGACTTTCTTTGTCAGGTATTTGCAGTTGTTTATAATAAGTGCAAGAACCAGGTTTGAGAAACTATTTGTTTAACATTGCTTATGACTCCAAATGTATTTTTTTTTCCAAAAGTAATGGTGAACATCGCCCTTTGTCGTATGGAACAATGTTGAGATCTTTATTTCAGTCAGGGAAGAATTACTTGTTTGGAACAACATCAAGAAATCACCAATAAATATGTATTGTTTCTTTACCATATTTGATAGGCTCGAGAGAATAGAAGACTTTACAATTTTGCAAGCACTGACAAGCATTCACATGTTGATTCTTTGGTGTTGGATTTTTTTAAAGGATTTGATTTCGAAATGCTTCCATGAAGATGGTCCTTTTTTCTCGCAAATATTGGCACCATCTTTTGACAATTTTGAACTTTTGATTTAGAACTCAATTTTCCATTTTCAAATTTTTTTGTCACTCCATAGTCAGTTGTCTAACGATAATAGAAAAATATAGTGTTTTGGTTAGTTTTATTTATAAATTTGTCTTGATATTTTACCTTTCTTCTTCCTTATGTCTGACATCCTTTTCACCATTGCTTGATCACCGTCGGCCTTTGTTTTCTATGTAACTGGTACAAAAACATTCCCTCTTTCTTTCATCCTTCTTATGTTCAGTTTGGTTCTCCTTGAAACCCCTTCGAAATTGACAAAATTCAAATAAAAACTTCAACATTATCTTGGTCAATCTGTATTCTCCATCACTTAATCATTGTAAAATCAAGATATATTGCTTTTCTTTTCCTTGACCTTATTATCGCCTGGAATTTAGTCAAAGGGAGTTCGAAAATCTACATTTGAAAGGAAAGTTTAGGAGGATTTTTGCATAAATTTATCCAAGAATTTAAACTATGTTAGACCCTTAGTTGTTCGATGATCAAAAAGAACGAAATACAAAATTTTGGTGGTAAGGTCGAAAGTTTCTAAAGTGGAGTGACAAAACAAAAACAAAGGCAAAACTGAGTGATAAAAATATAATTTTCCATTTTGTATTTTAATTTATATTCTCATACTCGACAATTAAATGTGTAATGCACACGATGAGCATTGGTATCATTAATATGTGGTTAATTAGTCAAATTTAAATATTAAGAAAAATAAGGTATATAAATTCAAAATAACATAAATTTATTACGTATTTAATATAAAAAGTTAGAGGAACAAAAATCTAGTTTTACTTAAGTTTAAATTGATAAGGACGTAAAATGTTATTAGATCAAGTATTAAAATATAACTTTATATATTAAAATATACGTCGATAATGTATTAAAATATAACTTTATATATTTATTTAAAAGTTGACATGTTAAGAATCTTATTTTGTATAAAGTATGAACATTTTGCATGCATTTATTGTATGCTTACATATTTTTTTGTACTGTTAGTCCAGATTTGTTATATCTTTAATTGGAATCTTAAATGTTGGAGGTGAGCATTGATGAATATTGTTGAATGAGATATAAATATGTTAAAAACTTTGGTACATATTTAATGAAGCATTGGAAAGGGACAAAAATACGGTTGACAATGATAAATATCAAGAAAAAGAGCAAGGAAGATTATTCAAAAGATTGCCTCTCACCTACATGGCATGTATGGCTCGACGCATATTGGCGGCTTCAAATGCCGGCCACAACATGTTGTTGAAAAATGAAAATGCTAGACTGCTCCCAACATGATTTCTTTCTATATTGTAACGCGGCTGATTCAATATTGTCACGACAAATGCAAATTGTTCGTTGGGTTAGATCGATGTAGACAAAGCCTATTACATATCGACAAGTTCAGGGGCGATAGATAGTTGTAGTAGTAGAGATCATATCAAATATGTGAACGTTTAATTTCAAGGGTTGAGTATTATCTTTAAATATATATTAATAATCATTCCATTAACAATCATGGATAGAATTTTATAAATTTAATCTAAATTAAATATGTAAATAGAAATATCTCCTATAAAAAATACACCTGTAAATAAAAATATAACAAAGATGTGAACGCTTAATATCAAGCGGTTAGGAATTATATTTAAATAAATATATTTTATATTTACTTGTGTTAGTAAAAAAAATTATTAAACCCTTTTGATTTGAATTTGAGAAGAAAAAAAGCTACTCCAAACCTTTTACACAGTGTTTAATTAATTAGGTGAAACAGATATATATTTTTAATGAATAAAAAAATGGTGTAGGCCTTGATTGACTCGAAGACTGGGGATGCCTCGTGGGATGTTTGCTCGATTCTTACCCTCTCTCCTGCTAATGCCATCCTTTTCCCACGTGCATATGGAATATTTACTCTCGATTTTATTATTTTTATAATATAACATAGGTAAATTTAAATAAATAATATCCTTTAATAAATAATTATGAAAATGATATGTCAAGCAATATTTTTAAAAAATATTACTCATTTCAGACATTTAGGATAGAAGTATGTTTTACGACGATTATCAAATGTGTATTTTGTTAGAAACATCTGTTTACCTTGTAAGAATCTTTTAGGATTTTTTATTTTTCTATTTTGAGGATTTAGATTATTTTAGTGATTATGTTACAGAAGATGATTTAAAACTGTGGGATTAAGGGTTAGAATTATTTATTATTATAATTTTACAGAAATTAGTATATTTTATCTTAAATTTATTACAAACTTCAAAATAGAGTGGAAGAGCGAAATAAAAAACATAAACATATACAAACAGTGAAGAACTGTAAAAAGAAAATTCATAATATTCATCATAATTACAAGAAAACTCTTTCAAAGGACATAAACATATACATACAGTGAAGAAATATAAACCAGTGTTATTTGAAACACAGAGAAAAAAAATTGTAATATAAACCACATATCATCATCGTCGATAAAAAAAATATACGTAGATACCGGATCTTAATGGTCATCCAGAAAAATATATGATAATTTTATTGACAAAGGACGTGATTACCTTTTTAAATAGACATAAGAAGAGTTTATCTTTTATAGGCATAAGAGAAAAAAAACATATAATGAACCTTCAATACATGAACTGCTCCTCTACCACTATAAAAAGTTCATCTTCAATACATGAACTTTCATTTATATTTTTATCAATAAGTTTACTTTTTTACAATTTAATCTATTGACTTTATATTTTATTCAATTTAACTTATTACTGTAATTTTTTACAAATTCTTTATTCGCATAAATTTATTGTCTTATTTATACTTTCATCATTATTGTCCCTAAAATATATTACTCAAAAAAAATTCTAAATATATTTTATAATTTTAGATGAGTTTTTATTTGTTAAATAATATTATAATGTGAAAAAATGTAAAATATATATTATTTTATCTTATATTATTAGAGAAAGTTTTTAAAAGTTTTAGAGATGTTTATAACTAATTTTTACTAAAAAATTGAACAGTTAGATTAGACTAAAAAACTAAATAAAATTTTAAATAATAAAATATTATTCATAATATGGTGGGACCGGCAGTAGAATCTTGTACGTGTCATCACACATGTATATAAAACACGCTTGCCGATAATCACGGAAAAAGGTCCCCACATTTTAAGACCTACGTTTATCTCAATTTTTATTTAATTTTTGTTTAAGACTTAATGCAAATATATATATAAGCAAATAATTAAGATATTTTACACAATATAAGGTTAAAGATTCAATTACACAATATAAATTCTTTAATTTTACACATATTTAGTATCGTTAGATGAGTGAAAATAAAAGTCACTAATTTTATTAAAAAGGTTATATATATAATTATAATGAAGGCTTACAATCATATTTGTAAACTAAACAAATAATTAAGATATTTTTCCATGACTTTAAAAAAAACTAGTCACTTAAGATCATGATTATACAAGGAAAAGGTTAAAAACATATTCAAAAATTCAAACAAAAGATAAGTACGAGCAAATCTGACCGCATCGATAAACAAATCACAAAAAGAGATAAAGTTATTGAAAGATCACCGACAAACCACAAATCAGAGTCGATATACATGAAAAAAATAATCCACAAACACAAATCGCGTATCCAAATTCAATCTGAGGGTCTAAAGTATGAAATATCAGCATGATAACAAATAAACGTTATCTTGATCAGTCGTGGAGAATGTCAAATCCAACCCTAAGAAAAAATAAACAAAAATAACGACCAAACAAGCAAAAACATGTCAAAATACATAAAAAACGTGTCATAAAAACAGAAGAAAACGTGTTATAAAAACAGAAGAAAACGTGTTATAAATGCAAAGTAATTAAGAATTGAAAAATTGGAAAAATTAAAAAAAATAGTATAAGAAAATAAAGGGAAGATAAATATCGATGGTTGCAACCAACATCAAGGCGCCACCTATCAATCAAAGACGAAGAGAGGTAACAACGACGTTTAGATTTAATGCAAAAATAAATGTAAAAATTATATTTTTTTAAAATTATGCTTAAAGAAATTTTTGTTTAAAGTAAGTGTTTAACGTTTTAGGTGTTTGACCCATCATGATCGTTAAATTCAATAATTATATAACAAGACTTTTAAAATTATAAAAATTTTAATTTAAAATAAAAACTTAAAATTACAATTTGTTTAAAAACCTATTTTTCTTAAATATAAAAAGAACTCAAAACTCTAAACATCATAACTCCAAACCCCTTCACCTCTGTCTATCGCCGTCGATGTTCCCCTAGTCATCGCGATGTCTTCAGCCACTTTATCTATCTGGATTTCAACGACAGAAGAAACTGTCGTCTTTTGCTGGAATCATGTAACCGGAGTCATCGTCTTGCAATCGTCCATTTTTCGCTGCAATCGTCACTTGAAACGCAGGATTTCGACCAGTGGGTGTTTACGTGATTAGTCACAGTCAAAATTTCGATCAGTTGGCAGTGTTTGTGGCAACCTATAGTGAAAAGGGGATTAAATTAAGGTTTTAGTGTTTATAATTTCAAAAACTGTTCAATTTTGTTTTATAAATTTAA